ACATATATATATATGTGTGTATATATATATATACACAGAAATGTGTGTATGTATTACACACATTTATGTATATGTGTGTATAAATATAAATATATATATATATAGATTTTTATATATACACACATATACATAAATGTGTGTATGTATATAGCATGTGTGTGTATATATATATATATAGATTTATATTTATACACATGCACATAAATGTGTGTGTGTAATACATACACACATTTGTGTGTGTGTGTGTATATATATATGTATATGTGTGTGTATATATATATTCTTCACACATATATTATTAAACAATTAAAATGCTATTATATAAATTAATAATAAAAAAAATAGGATTTCCATGTTTTTAGCTTATCCTTAATTTATTAAAACAAAATGTGGTAAATGGCACAAGGTGCTCCACAACAACAAAACTTAGAGGGAGCATTGCTGTTGAACATTCTTTCGCTCTGTCACATATTTGCTCATCCTTTCTTTCCTTTCCACAGGCAGTTCATCAGGACTAGCTAATGCGAACTTTGCAGACTTCGAAAACTTCCCCAAATCTTGCGGTGCTGATTTCACCTCAATTAGCTCCACCCAGAGTAACTCAGTGGGAGAGGGGCATAAAGTGGAAGCAGTCAGCGTCTCTTCAGACCGATACGCAGCCCTCGCCGACCTCGACAACATGTTTGGCAGCAAACCTGAGCAAGGTACATCCAGGAATGAAATTACAGTTTTTGAACATTGACTCATTTTTCTGTCCATTTTTCAGTCAAATGCTATGTGAAGCTACAAAGCACAAGAAATCTTTTCAAAATCTTATTTATTAATACAATAAAAACTGGGGTACATGTTTTTTGTGGGGTACACAAAAAATGGCTAAAAATAACCACTTTCTGTCTCTCTCCACAGGAACGAGTTCAGCCCCTCCGTCAGCAGGTGTGGGTCCTCCACCTCCACAGGTGGCTCTGTTGGGCGGCAATCGCTACGCTGCTCTAGCTGTACTAGACAATGTCTTTAGCGCTTCAGTGCCAAACGTGAGCGGCTACAACACTGCCACCACCGCACAAGGGTGAGACTAGAAAGATACATGGCCCTTTACTTCTCAATGTCTTTTTCTCTGGCGTGTTAAGCTCTCTTTCCACTCTCGCATTCAGGTCTATGTTTGGATCCTCTACGGCTGCTCCTCCAGTTCAAGCACAACAGGGTTTACCCAGCATGCCTCAGGTTTTTGGAGGTAAGCATCTTTGAAATCTATTTGAGATATCCATTCAGTAAATCTCTTACATCTCTCATGTGTTTTTTAACAGGACCTTCGACGAATCCATTCGTCGCTCCCGGGGCTCCGCAGGCTCCTCCCACTAACCCGTTTCAGACCAATGGAAGAGCAGCAGTACCAGGAGTGGGTGTGGCCACAGCAGGTATGTACAGGGCTTAGGTCTACCTGCTAAATCTTAGTTTAAGTTAATCTTAGTTAATCTTAGTCGCAGAGAATCTTCTCAGAATTAACAGTGGGCTTTGTCCTCGGTTTTAAACGAGTTTAAGCAGCTCTTGTTTTGTGTCTCATTTATTTAACACACCAGAGGGCTTTGTGAAGAGTTTTAAGTGGGTCAGATACCCCCGGTATCCATGCTAGGAGCTAACAGCTTGAGATTGCTTTTACACACGCAAGATACAAAGCCACCGCAGAAGAGCTGCAGAGATTTTTGGGTCTCTACATCCCTGCAGCGGATAAATGTTGTGTGTGTTCATGTTCCAGAGAGAGAAAGAAAAAAGGCAGGAAGGGGAGGCATCTTTGGTTAAATGTGAATGAGAAGCAGATTTTTTTTGTCCCCTGAAATTTATATATAGGCCAAAAGTGAGAGAAAAGCTCAACTGGAGTGAGCTGCGACTGATGGTTTTGTCTGGTTGTGTTCTTGACATGCTGATCAGATATGTTAGGACCCCTGCTGGGTCAGGCTTACCCTGCGGCCCACTTCGGTATGTCCGTTTCTCTCTTTCTCTCATTTTCTGGGGCTTGGCCTTGACTGTAGACTAGTTGGCTTTATAAACTATGCTGACCGCTATTCTGTGGTCATCCTGACCTTTTGACCCCATTAAAGAAAAGTGTGCTTGTGTTGTCTTTAATCTGAGGTTGATGAACCCCAGATAAAGTATCAATATCCCATGTTCACTTCAGCTGTCATTGAAAATGAAAATTGAACAAATGCATATGTTCAATAGCCACTTAAAAGTGTGTTTATTTCATGAGATATAAAATATCAAGCCAAGTGGCATCTGCAAATAAATGAAATGCAAGAGCTTTTCTCAGCCACTTGTTTTGATGTTTTGTTATGTAATGCAACCGTTCAAATGTTTTGGGGTACGATTTGTATGTTTTGGAAGAAGTCTATTATGCTCACCAAGGGTATTTGATCAGAAATACAATAAAAGCAGAGCTGTTGTAAAATATGATTACAATTTAAATTTACAGTTTTTAAAAAGTAATTTATTCCTGTGATGGCAGAGCTGAATGTTCAGCATCATTACTCCAGTCTTCAGTGTCACATGATTTGGTTCCTCTTATGATTCATGCTGAAAACAGTTCTGCTGCTTAATAGTCATATTAGATACATTTCCTTTTTCCAAAACAAATCTGACCCCAAACATTTGAACAGGTTGTACAGGTGTGTGTATATATATATATATATATATATATATATATATATATTTTTTTATATATTTTTCATATACTTGCTGATGTTGATTGAATAACGTTAGTATTGGAAACTGTTGGTTCTTTGTTCTGTATTGTCTTTCCTCCTTTTTTGCTGTGAAGCTTTTGTCATGTTTTGCAGACTCATTGCCACAGATTTCTGTACTCAGGATAAAAATAGAGGAAGTGCTATTTTTAAAAAGTCAACATGACCCTTTTTCCTAGGCTTACTGTGATTGATTTGTCAGTACATATTATTTTAGGTTTGTCTTCCAAATTTAAAATTGGATTTGCTTTGACTCTTAAATAACTTTGCTTTTCTCAGTGGAGTGTTGGATTCCTGAAAAGTTCCATTTCAAATCCACTGATAAGTTAAAGTTAATTAGTCAGCTAGTTCAGCTGTTGTTTAAAGATTGTTTCAAGTGAAATTGAAGAGCAAACATTGTCAGTGCATCTCACAGATTGGCCAAGAACGGCACGTATATGTATGTCAAACTGAGATGTTAGCACAGAGCTCTTTGTGTCCCACAGCCTCTTTCGGTCCTCCGTCCATGAGCATGCCGACTGGGTTTGGAAACGCTGCTGCGTACAACCTTCCCACCAGCTTCAGTGGAAACTTCCAGCAAGCGTTTCCTGGACAGCCGTTCCCCCAGCAGCACGCGTATCCCCAACAACCCAACGGTAGGGGCTGAGAAAGACTTGCTGCAGTGATTTTAATACCATTATATTCATGGTGTACAATTAATTCCAATGTCATGCAGCTTTATGTAGAATGTTTCAGCTGTACTTCAGCGAAAAAGACTGTTTTACATGGTCACATTTCTTTTTTTGTATTCACATATTTGTCTCTTTTTCATTAGGAGGTTTTGCTGCATTTGGTCAGGGTAAAGTCACTCCGTTTGGACAGAACATGACGGCGCCTGGAGTAACCAACAATCCCTTCCTGGTGTGTTAAATTACTCATTTTGATTTATTGCAATCTACAGTATATATTAAAAAAAATTTATGTATTATAATTATAATATTTTAAAAGTCTTCATTTTATTCCAAATGTTACTTTGAGTCTCTTCATTTTAGTCATTTTATTTGTATTGTATTGTATTTATTTGTATTTGTATTTATTCAGTCAGATCTGTTATTAATTTACAATTAATAATTAATATATTGTACATTTTATAGCTTACATTCTACTCTAAATGTTCATTTGAGTCTCTTACTTTTATTCGTTTACTTTACAAAATAATTAAGTTAAATCTTATTAATGTATAATTATAATGATAGGTAGATAGATTTTTTTATATTCCAAATGTTAATGTAAGTCTTATTTTTATTTGTTTATTTATAAAATAACTTTATTTTGACACTAAATCTGTTGGGTTTCGGTTTCTTCTTGTCATCACATTTATCTTTTTTCTTTTCTCTTGCAGGCAGGGGCACCAGCAGCACAGTTTCCTGCAGGAGGCTCATCCACAAACCCCTTCTTATAGCACGCCCTTGTCCTCCGCTCCTCCAGTGGGCGGCCTGCGACTCGTTCACACCTCTTGCACTGTTTTGTTTCTCAAGTAGCTTTAAAAAAAACATCAAATTCTTAAAGGAATTTTTTTTATTGAATTTTAAGAGCAGAAGACTGAAAAAAACAGCAAATGAATATATACATGATCCTGTCTATGGCACATCCATAATGACAGAAAACAAAACAGGTTGCAGAGTTGTTTGGAGAAAAGGAGCTTTTTTTTACAGTGCTCCTTTTATCATTCCTGTGAACTGGCCTGACCTGGAAATCATCTGCACGACATGGTGGAGTTATTGCAAACCTCCTGTTCATGTTAATGCTGCAATTCTGTATATAATTCTTTCATAGAAATTGCTAAATTTTTAGGTCTTTGTGCATATCAGTATTTGTATCTTTAACACGCGTCCACACACACATACACACACACACACACACATGCTGCATATACGGCGTTGATGTCCGCCATGCTGTGAATAACATTAAGCAAGAATGTGGAATCCCTTTTTGACATCATAGTGTTGCCTTTTTGTGCTTTTGGAGTTTCTGAGAATGAGGCAAAAACTGTTTTTTTCCCCCGTTACGATGAGTTTAAACTACAAGACTCTTTTTGGATGTCAACTCCTCGACGCAAGACCACTTATGTTATAGAAATCTAAGTTAATGTGTGTGTGTATATATATATATATATATATATATATATA